GCTTCGGCCGAAAAATCTCTTGTGTTCATTTACTTTCTTGCAATTTATTGGTTTTCTGTTGTTTAAGTTTCTTGTATCTTGACTCTAATACATGTGGGTCTTGGCCTTTCAAACTATATTTTCAATTTTAATTGGATTAAAATCCTCCCAAACAAACTCTGAAAATTACTCCATGACCGACAAAAACATACAAGCATGATAAGAAACAACAAAAGACTGAATGAAAATTTGATATAGTAAAGAATCGCTCAAGTTATAAAGGCCTCTTCAAACAAAATATAATTTCTAAGCATTCACTTACTAAACCCATCTCTTATGTGAAGCTACTTAATTAGATCTGACCAAATGCCATCTCCTGTTTCGGTTTTCTCCACTGACAGATGATGTATGCTTTGGTTTCAAAGCAGGAAATGTATTAGGTGTCTGATTCAGTGATTTCTCTTTTAAAGGACTCGAACAGGACCTCAGATACTGCTCTGTTCTTCTTGTTGTAATAGTGCAGATCTTAGCCTGTTCATGTTTCTGGTTTCTGATTGAAGCTCTCTCTCTATTATAAACCGGAATTTCTTCACTTTTGACTGCAGGAGATTGTACTCGGTTCCTAGGAGTCTCTGAATCAGAAGATGAATGGCTAGTCGTGATGTCCATGCCATAAAGGACATTATTAGCCATTACAGTTTCCTGCCTCGTATTTGAACTTGGAGCAAAGAATGAAGGTCTTCGAAGCCTTGTGAGACTAACCACCTGCTTATATTTAGTCATAAATCAGAAATGAGATTTAAGATAAATTTCTCTACACACATTTCTCTCTCATTAAGCATATTCATCATGTTAAAATGATTGAACTTGCGATTAGAAATATTTATTATGTAAAACTATAGTCCCTTCTCTTACTGGTATCGTATAGACTTCATCAGGAATAACTGAAATCAGTAACATTTTCCTTATTGGAAGTGTTATTGTTTTGAGGAGAAAAACTTAACTTCTTTATTTCCTTAGGTCTTCATATATGCATATACAAAATAACTTATACTATTTACATGAAGGTCCCTATAGATAAGACTATATAAACTATTTAGTCTGTACACTCCTCAAGTTGGAGCATAGATATTTATCATGCCCAACTTGTTACTAAGATAATGAACCCGAACCCCATTTAGAGCATTTGCGAAGATATCTCTCAATTGTTCTCCTGTTTTCACATATCATGTAGAAACCAAACATTGCTAAATCTTCTCACGAATAAAATGACAATCAATCTCAATGTGTTTCGTTCGTTCGTGAAAGACTAGATTAGATGCAATGTGAAGTGCAGCTTGATTATCACACCATAACTTAGCTGGTCTTGAAATTGTAAGACCCACTTTTGTGAGGAGCTGATGTATCCACATTA